TTATAAAATTTGTTCATTTGTTATTTGGTGTCGAAAATATGTTAGTCACAAAAAATGTACCTTGATTTTTAACGAAAAATATTATGTCATCACCAAAGCAAAAAAATATGACAATAATATAATTTCTTTCAGCGACGAAATTTTTTTTGTGACAAATAGATGAATTTTTAGCGACTAAGATTTTTGTCACTGATAATCTATTTTAGCGACGATACTTTAGTTGGTCGTCAAAAACTTTCAGTGGCGACCCTACTGTGACAAATTGACAACCAAATTTTTTGTCCCAAAAAACTTTTAGCGGCGAATTATTCACTTTTAGCGATGACTTTTTTTGCCGCTAAAAAACATTTTCTCTTGTAGTGAATGGTGACCCTTTCTTCATCTATTGCATATTTTTGGAAGTAAATGTTTTGTTTTTAGCACAAGTAGTGTTTTGAATTTTCTGTTTTCCTACACAAAACAAGTAGCCCTTTCGATTGATAATTAATTCTATGAGACGCCATGGCTGCCAACGTCTTCTCCACCTGTTATGGGTGCATTGTGCCTTCAGGTTATCATTTTTTTATTTGTTACTGTATTTCTAAGATATGCCTCCCTTTTGTCCACACAACTCTTGATGGTTATGTTAAACTCTATTTTTTTATTTTTCATTAGCCTCTGGTGTTTTTGATTTTGGTATTGCAATGTGCGTCTACTTTTTGGAGCAGCATTGTAAAATTCTCTTATAAATCTACTTCTGATAGATGTTATTTGGACCATTCTTTATACCCTACAGACTTCAAAAGCAATTTATGGTTTAATATTGAAATTCTCTTATTCTTTTGCCTTGATGAATGGTTTCATTGAACTAATTTTATATGTTATCTTTGATAATGCTATGCCTACTTAAAAACTTATATATGTTATAGCTAATAGGCATTTAATCACACAAGCAGGCTTTTCCCCTGTCCTCAAAAAAGTGAAGTTACTACATTTAAAAAAAGGTAAAGGATATCCAATCTCAATGCTTTTTCTTTACGTGGACATAATAAATTATGAGTAGATTTGCACATTTGTGCATGTAGTCATTGCATTCAGTTATGTATTTTCAGTTCCGAAAGTATTAAGGAAAAAAAATGATCACACATCTGGCCAAGATGAAATTACATATATTTTGCTCTCTTTAAAATTCTATTCACCATACTAGAATTTCTCTGAGTTATTTTGCCTTTATAATTATATGCAAGTTGTTTGCAGTTAAATAATATTTTCAATTAAGCAATGATTTGTTTGATTGGTGTGTTTTTAAGTTAATTTGTTAGACAATTGTTTTAGACTTAAGTGGTTGTTCATAATTTTGTGCATTGTTTTGTTTGTCTAATGAATGACACTAATATGTCTTGGTTCTGAATTGGTGCCTATTTGGTTGGCCAAAATATTGGACAAAAGTAAGTTACATTTTTGTGTCTCATATTATGTTTTCTTTTGGTTTTGTTAATTGTAAAGAAAACTTGATTCAATTTTTTCTATGTTTTTCAGCTGATAGAATATGTGATTGATTTGCTTATATATGTGAAGCTTTAATTTAATAACAAAATTTTCAAATGCTTTGAAATTTTTGAGCATTGTTTTGTTTGCAATGTGTGGAAGAAAGCAAGATAGCTACCCCTACATTACTTCACATGTCTCTTAGTTGGTTTAAGTGTTGTAGTTGCATTAATTAGGTTGTGTGTATGCTATTTCAAATCAATTTTCCTGCCCAAAAATTTGGTGAAATAAGGGGATTTAAAATTTTGATTCCTCACTTTTACTATACTTTTTTATTGTGATTTGGACCCTTTTCCCTGTATCTGGGGTAGGTGATATGTTTGAGTTTGTTTGATGATCATAGCAATGGCTTTTAAACACATGTATAATGACTTTCATGATAACTCTTACAAGGGTTAATACATTCAATTATCTAGGTTAGTAAGGCTGATGTATTCGATTAATTTTAGATCAATTGTTAAGTCAATTTTCTATAGTTCTATATGATTTTAATTGTCGTATTAAATTGGATCAACTGATTTACTAACTATTTGATTTGGATTACAAAAAAAAACATAGGGTTGTGTGGGAAAATAGTCGTGGCTGTTGAGGGAAAGGCATGCTAGGATCATTAGACCTAAGCTTATTCTTTTTTGTCGTGCTATGACTTTGAGGTGAATTGTGCAGCCATGAGAGCTCCTTCTTGGGTTGGGAGTTTTCAAATTCACGCAATTTTCAAATAAAGTGTTTTTTTTATATTTTTGGTAATTTTGTATGTTCGTAGTAAATATAACTGTGTTACCTTAAATGAAACATGAAATTCAATTACCATAGTAAGCATAGTTTTTTTTATGGATTCTCATTTTTTTTAATTGGGGATTTTTTTTTATTACACGGTGCCTTTATGCATGAGCATTTTATTGATTGTTTTTTTGAATAATTGGTCTATATTAATTAGTATTTTGTGTTATACATTTCTTTTTAAGAGCAATTTTTTTTAAAACATAGTGCCTTCAGGCACGAACAATAACTAGTATATATAGAAAATAAAGTAGAACGAAGTTTGAATTTTGGAGATAAAGAAAGGTCCAGATCTTTTTGAGACAAAACATAAACACATCCAACGGACAATGTAATCTCAACATAAAAGAAAGTTCAGGTCATCTCAAAAATTATGAACTAACAGTCAACAAAGAGTCTTATATTTTTCTTTTCCGCCCAACACAAGTCCCTGTCTCATGCCTCTCCTATCTCTCATATAACTTTATCTCTCTTATCTCTTAGACATTTTAAATACACTATTTCATCTCCTCTCTCTCTTCCTATCTCATACTAACTGATACAACTCTCTCTCTCTATCTCATACTCTCTCTGCTATCTCTTACACATTTTAAACACACACTCTTCCATCTCTCATATATATATATATATATATATAACAAAGATTATTTCTAATAAATTATAAGTTCATTAACATATGTCATCTGGAGCGGAGTCAAGAATTTTATTTAGGGTAGACACTTTAATTATACACTTTAATTTTTTTACTCTTAACCAATAACACTGTATAATATATTTATATTTATTATATCATATTTGATACATGAAGTCCATTTAACATAAAAATGCCAAAAAATAATATTATATATATATATATATATATATATATATATATATATAATTGACTAATTATCATCAATGTAAAAAGTGAAGCTAATTGTCATTTTTATAATTAAAAAAATATCAATTATTCACTAACAATCTATTAAATTTATTCAATAAACGATATTTTAAACATTATCACTAAAATATTAGTATAATAAAACTATTAAACTAAAATCTAATAAACATAGTAAAAAAAATTAAAAATTGATTGGCACATAATAAAGACTATAATCAATATTCGAATAAAAATAAAAGATAATTTTTCGTAGAAAAAATAAAATCAAATGAAGATCAATTGAAAGAACTTTCGCTTGCAAAAATTCATAATAAAATGAATGTCATTTGAAGAAAATCATATTATTATAATAAAAAAGACTAAATAATTAAAATAAGAAAATTATAGAGTAAGTACAAGTAAAAAAATATGTGTATAACTTTTAGAATATATATATCATATTTTTTAAAAAAAAATTGAGGATGGACCCGTGTCCACCCTCGCCCTAGTGTAGTTCTGCCCATGTATGTCATCCTATATCTATATATATATATCTATATGATCCTAATTGAATTTTTATTTATTTTACATCTCTTTCCTTTTCACACAGTCTCATCTCTCATATAACTCTATCTTCTGAGAGTTTGGCTTAGACGACTCTATATATATATATATATATATATATATATATATATATATATATATATATATATATATATATATATATATATATATATATATATATAATAGTAACATAATACATATAATACCCATTAATACTCTAATCTCTCTCTATATATATCATATTCTCATCTCTCATAAGTTTATCACATCTCTCATATAACTCTCTCTCTCTATACAACCACCAACAAACACATGTCAATGTCGACTCGTACAAAAAAAAATTTATTTTTTTATGTATAATGATTAAATATATAAATTGTGTATATATTAATTTTTTTAGGGGTCGTGTTTTTAAAGAAGTTTTGTCAATTTTTTTTAAAAAATAGTGTTTTCAAATTAATTTTGAATTGTGTAACTAAAGAAAATAATAAAAAAATAAAGTATTGTTTGAAATATTTATATTGCATTATCGGTGATCAAAGTTTTTTAGTTGCTTAGTGCCTTCAGGCACAAGTTATTATTAGTATATATATATAGTTGTCTAAGAGAGAGTTACATGAGAGATGATAGTGCGTGTTTAAAACATGTGAGAGATATTAGAGAGAGTATAAGATAAATGGTGTTTAAAACGTGTGAGAGATATTAGAGAGTATAAAATAGAGGGAGGGAGAGTATAAGATAGAGGCAGAGAGCTGTATCAGTTAATATAACATAAAGAAAGAGTTAGATGAAATAATAGAAAAATTTCGCATAAAGAATGTTAAATCAATAATCGTTAGTCGATCTAAATCATAAAAAATTTAGGATAAACTTTTCTAACTATTTTATTTTATAGATTTAGGATAAAGTTTTCTAACTATTTATTATATAGATGAAAAACTTGAACTATGACATCCAAGGATGCACTTTCCTCCGCCAAACTGAATAAGACATGATTTAAGTTGCATGCAACTGTTTACTAGTGATTTGATGAAAACATCACAACTATATCATTTTGCAATTACAACGTCAACAACCAAATACTCGTTCTGGTACCAAAGAAAGAGCCCCTGAACAGATTATAGCAAATATACAATTAGAATTAGAAGGAAGGACATACTTAAAAAGACCCAGCATCGTCACTTAAAGATAATAACTAATGAGTAATACTAATTGGAACTATTGCTTTGGACGTATGACCAAGAAAAACTGTGTACAACACATGAGACTCCACGTCTACATGAGCCTAATAAAACCCTTATACAGAACCGCCATAGCTTTCTGGTCAACGCTACCAAAAGTTCCTTAATAATAGATTTTCTTCAAACAAACAGAACACAAATATAACTAAAGGTAATAGCATATATATGATCTCCCACTAACAAACATATTTCAAAATCATGGAAGAGACCAAACCAGCTGACCAAACTTTCAACAAACCCTAGGAACAGTTTTGCAAACCAAGAGGCGTTTCATCTCCAAGGAGAGCTTCAAGCATTCAGACAAGTCCACACCATTCTCAGAAGCAACCCATTTGAAGTTCTGAAGCAGCTGGGCTAACCAGAGCTGAACAGTTGCTAGCCCTATAGCCTTCCCAGGACAAACCCTCCTCCCAGCACCAAATGGTGCCAACCTAAGGTCGGAACCCATAATCGCAACATCCTCTTCCATGAACCTCTCTGGCCTGAACTCATTTGGCTCCGCCCAGACTTTCTCGTCGTGAGTTATGGCCCAAATGTTCACCACAGCGGTGGTGCCGGCGGGTACAAAGTGTTCGCCAACGTGAGTGTCGTGGATGGCTAGGCGGGCCCAGGAAAGAAGTGGGCCAGGTGGGTGCATTCTAAGAGTTTCCTTCACTATGGCCTGGAGGTAAGGAAGGTTGGGCAGGTCAGAATCTGATACAGATCTTGTTGTTCCAACAACAGTGTCGATTTCAGATTGAGCTTTCGCCTGAATATCTGCGTGTAAAACCATTCTTGCAAGAATCCACTCTAGGAGGATTGCCACTGTATCAGTCCCCCTGAAGATCATTTCCTGAAACCAAACAGAACTTCCATTAATTTCTCCATAAATTATACCCACAAAAAGATCTACTAAATTTAGTAATGAAAATATATCTAGAAAATGAAAATAAAGCTTTTTTCAGTATAAGAAAAGCAATAGAAACAAAAGCAGAGAGCATAAGATAAGAAAATATCAGAGTCATCCTCATCGGACAAAAAAAGGTTGAAGATATTCAGATTCCCCATTCCCCATATCTTTGGATAAGGGAAAAGAGAAAATACAAAGATCTATATTCCTTTTATTTTGGTACATACATATTGATGGGTTAAGCCCAAATAGTCCAATTCATGTGTTAAAGTCCAACTCCAGTTGAGGAGCCCAATCTCATTTTGATTCCACCAAGCCCAAGACAGTCCAAGACCGATTAGACTTCTTGCTTAGCACGTCATCAAGAGGAGAGCACGGGAAGCTTATCTGCACCAAAGGAAACGGTCCAAATCCACCAAGCCCAAGACAGTCCAAGACCGATTAGACTTCTTGCTTAGCACGTCATCAAGAGGAGAGCACAGGAAGCTTATCTGCACCACCAAAGGAAACGGTCCAAATCCACCAAGCCCAAGACAGTCCAAGACCGATTAGACTTCTTGCTTAGCACGTCATCAAGAGGAGAGCACGGGAAGCTTATCTGCACCACTAAAGGAAACGGTCCAAATCCACCAAGTACAAGACAGTCCAAGGCCGGTTAGACTTCTTGCTTAGCACGTCACCAAGAGGAGAGCACGAGAAGCTTATCTGTACCACCGAAGGAAACGGTCCAATCTTTGACCACGTTTTATGAAGAGCTCCCCAACCTCCTCCTTCACTTGAGGATAAGCCGTGATCTCCACCAGAGTAATCTCTTAGCTGCGATAAAGAAGCCTTGAGGATAAGTTGTGATCTCCACCAAGAATAATCTCTTAGCTGCGATAAAGGAGCCTTCAGGATAAGTCATGATCTCCACAAGAATGATCTCTTAGCTGCTATAAAATAGCTCCAATCTGGGAGAAGAGGGGAGATGAATATCACGCCCTACTAGAGACTTATAGAGGACGAACCGACTACCGGAGATTACTATTTTCTTTGATTCTCCATTCTCTCTCTCAAAGCTTGTATCTCCATTCTCCATACCTTTGAATCAATAAAATACCCGGCAACTGAAGCCATTGAAGAGTGGACGTAGGTCGAATTGACCGAACCACTATAAATTGTGTCTTCTTTAATTTTCTCATTGATTTCATTGCATTTATTATCTACACTTGACCGGTGGTGTGCAAAACTATTTTTGTACATCATCAGTTTGGCGCCGTCTGTGGAAAACGACAAAATTCTCACTCCTGAACATTACATCCATTAACTAATGGCGATCACTACTCGATCCATGAACCAACACGAAGACAATCCTCCACAAGAGGAGGAGGTTGCTCCCCCGCCTATCAACCCTGTTCCGGATACTCCAGCCCCGAATCCCAACAAATATTGGAGACCATGCAACAACTGGTTGCTCAAAACCAACAGTTACTGCAACTCATACTTGCTGGACAAGGAGGAGCACCACACGGAGGTGCACAACATGGAGGACCCCAAGGTGGAGCACCACACGGAGGTGCACAACGTGGAGCACCACACGGAGGTGCACAACATGGAGGGCCCCACGGAGGTGCACAACATAGAGCACCCCAAGGAGCTCCACATCCTGGACATCAAGGAGCACCACGCCCTGTTGCTCCACGCCCGGGTGCCCCATTGGGCACCCCACTTCGGGAAGCCCAACATGAGGGAGCTGCACCTCCCCCTCCCCTTGCTTTCCAGGGAGAGGACCCTTATCTCCAGGAGGATGAGGGTGAAAACCAAAGCATGGGGCATGGAAGCCACTTCTATGATCATTCCATAAGAGCCCCCAATCATTGGGACGAGAAGATAAAGGAGGTACAGAATCAACTCGGTGATGTCTTCAACGCCATGAAGGCACAGGGACCCGAAACTGTTGACCACCTGGTAAGGCGTACTGATACCCCTTTCAAACCTGATGTAGCAAACTACCCCCTCCCTCAGAAGTTCATAATGCCATCTGTGGAGACCTTTGATGGAACAAAGGATCCACTGGACCACCTCGACACTTACAAGACCTTGATGCAATTGCACAACGTACCAGACGAAATCATGTGCAGGGCATTCCCAACCACATTAAAAGGGTCTGCTCGACAGTGGTTTGCTAAGCTCTCCCCCGCCTCTATTACCTCTTTTGCCGAGCTTAGCAGATCATTCGTCTTACACTTCATAGGAGGGCGTCGCCACCAGAAGCCAGTTACGCACTTGCTTAGTATAAAGCAGGACCGCGAGGAGAGCCTGAGAAGTTACCTCACTCGTTTTAACGAGGAGGTACTCCAAGTTGATGAACCTGACGACAAGGTGACGATGACCGCCTTCTTGGGTGGCCTCCGTTCATCAAGTTTCCTTTTCTCAGTTCTGAAGCGCCCGCCAAAGAGCATGCCAGAACTATTCACAAAAGCTCAAAGATATATGAATGCTGAGGAAATCAACAAGTTTAGGCAAGGTGAATCATCTCACAGATCACCAGAAACTTGACCTGCCTCTGCACTGTTCTCAAACAGGCAGCCTATCTCCAGTTTAGCGGCTCTCTCACGGGTCGCCAAAAAACTTGGCCTCTGCACTGTTCTCAAACAGACAGTCTATTTTCAGTTTAGCGGCTCTCTCACGGGTCGCCAAAAAACTTGACCTCTATACTATTCTCAAACAGACAGTCTATTTCCAGTTTAGCGGCTCTCTCACGGGTCGCCAAAAAACTTGGCCTCTATACTGTTCTCAAACAGACAGGCTATTTCCAGTTTAGCGGCTCTCTCACGGGTCGCCAAAAAACTTGGCCAAAAAACTTGGCCTCTATACTGTTCTCAAACAGACAGTCTATTTCCAGTTTAGCGGCTCTCTCACGGGTCGCCAAAAAACTTGGCATCTATACTGTTCTCAAACAGACAGTCTATATCCAGTTTAGCGGCTCTCTCACGGGTCGCCAAAAAACTTTGGTCTCTATACTGTTCTCAAACAGGCAGCCTATCTCCAGTTTAGCGGCTCTCTCACGGGTCGCCAAAAAACTTGGCCTCTGCACTGTTCTCAAACAGGCAGCCTATCTCCAGTTTAGCGGCTCTCTTTGGGATCGCCCAAAAAAAACAAAAAAAAAAAAAACTTAGCCTCTACACTGTTCTCAAACAGGCAGCCTATCGCCAGTTTAACGGCTCTCTCACGGATCGCCAAAAAAGTTTGGCCTCTGCACTGTTCTCAAACAGGCAGCTTATATCTCAAGCTTAAAGACTCCCTCATGGGTCGCCAAAAGCTAGGTCTCAAAAAGTGTAGCTCTCTCACGAGCAGTTCTCCAACTTTGTCTTTGCTCTCGCGCAAGCAGCCCACTTCTCTCTCTCCAGGTAATTATGTGAGATATTTTAATGTTTGGAATAACATTATTTTTGTCATCACAAGCAGGCTCTCCCGAGGCAGCCCCAGGCTCACCCAAGGCGCCCACCACCTGGAGAAGGGCTTGATCATCAAAGAGCAGCACCCAAAGCTTCCTTACTACTCGCAATGTCTAGCCCAACGCCTAGAAGTGTGCCTGACTGCTGTTGCTCGTCAAAACAAAGTTGCCCAGTATCGCCAGTTTGTGCATCATCACATATCTATATTCCAGCATCTATACAATGGTATCGATAAAAGAACCAACAAAAACAGTTTATTAGAACTCAGGAAAAGTTCAGTAAAAACGTTCAAAACCACAAAATATGTAACGTGATCAAGCAACGACAACATGGACCAAAGCAACTAAAAAACCAAACGGAAGACTCGACAGTAATATCCTGGTTAACATAATAAATCAGAATTCCAAGTTAGGATATGAGAGAATCTACGAATATCTGGGAAAACAATTGTGTGTGTGTGTGTGTGTTTTATCCTAGCAAAAGAATATGATTCGGCAAAGGAAGAGAATAAGAAAAGTACCCATAGCACTGCAATCATGTCAGAGTCACTAAGCCTGTTCTCTTTCTCCAAATCAAGCAAGACGTCCACAAAATCACCGGAGCTCTCATCCACAACTCCTTCATTCTCAGTTCTCTTTAACCTATGCTCCGCTATAATCTTCTCCACGAAAACATTCACCCTAGCCACCAACTCTCTGCACCTCGTTCTCACTCCTTGCAAATCCAGCCATCCCATGACACGAAAATGGTCACTCCAGTTGAATATCCCCAGCAACTTATACCCTTCACTCACCAAACCCTCTAGCTCAGAGCCATCTTCATTTTCACTGAAGTCATAGCATTTACCAAAAACACTCATCATTACATTGTTCAAAGACCCCAAGTGCAAAACCCTTTTCACCTCAACCTCACCATTTTTCTCCATGGAACCCATGATTTCTTTAATCATTTCGATCCCAATCATTCTCCTAAACTGTCCGAAGGAAGCAATTCTTTTAGGACTGAACAGATGATTGGCTGAAATTCTTCTCAAGTTCCTCCAGTACTCTCCATAAGGATTAAAACCCATTGCTCGGTGGAACAGAAGCTCATATGCAGACTCTTTCACAGACCTATCAGCAAAAGCAGAGCTACTCAAAATTTCTTTGGCTGTCTCGGGGTTGCTCGAAATGATAAAACGAGTGAGCCCAATAGAGAACGCCATCAACTGTGCGGCCTTGAAGCTCTGAGAGAGCTTGTCGAGAACTCTGTGAGTCAGAGAACCAGTGAAAGCAAAGACTAGGCCCAGAACAGGTAGGCCAGAAGGTCCGGGAATTGCTGTCTTAGAGCCCAAGCAAGCCCTCCTGGGAAGACCCCAAAAGCAAAGATGGCAACGAAGAGACTGGCAAAGAGGAAAAGCTCAAAGCTGAACACTGATGAGGAGCACCCAGTTTGAGGAAGGAAGATAATGTAGTATTCTGACGACATTTTGGGGTATTTTTGACGTATAAAGAAAGCGGTTTTCTGATGATGGGCAGGTCAAAAATGGAGGAAAACAAAAGGGTGATGATCTTGAGAGAGAAAGAGAAAGTAGAGAGTCACTGAAAGAGAACAGAAGAACTTGTGAGGTGGTGGAAGTGTGGAGCGAGGAGAAGAAGAGTAAGAGAGTGCTTAAATAGAGTTGTTGTGTGGCCAGCCGGAAACCTAACCATGGTTAATGGGCGTGCAAGATCTTGCACAATATAAACACGAAAACAGATCTCTTTCATGGTAAACTCGAGTCAATCAATCGAATGGTCAACCTTGCTGCTTGGTATAGACTATGAGGTCCGGTGGTGGCCTGGAACGGTAATGGGTGACTTTCGTGGATCAACGGAGCAGTCCAGTAAGGCTGAGAGAGGTTCCTGGAATAGAGAAAAATGAGTTAGGTGGGTGCCGGAGTGTTTTCCGGCGTATCCCCTCCGACGATCAAGTCAGTTCTTTGAGAGAGGGGAAAGAGAAAACACTGTATATTTCTTTGAGAAAAAGTTTTTTGTTGCATACCATCTTGCCTTTTATGAGGAGTAATTATACCTTAAAAACTCATGATTGTTGTCAGTGTAGTCAGTAGGTGATCATTAAATACGGGCAACGTGCGCACTGATTCCTCTGAGGAATGTCTTCTCTCTTAACTGCTCGGGACCTTGAGCAACCAATGCTTCATCATCGGCCTGCCGAATGTTTAATGAGCTTCTCTCGGCAAGGATGTAATAAATGTCCAGTCATAGGGACATTTATTACCTTTCACTTCCGAGCCTTCCTGCATTAAATGATGTCTCATCAAGGGAATGTTGCACTAAATGCTTGTTTTCTCAAGTCGTGTGTCAGCAAGGGTATTTCGTTCTTTTTGTCTCTGATTTGACACAATATGTCACGCGCCCATTCCCATTGATTGTGTATTCTGCCTTCTTGTGCCTTCTGACATCAATTGTGTAATACGAGGTCATGATGGCTAACCTAGCCTAGCCTAGGCTAGTAACCTGTACATCAATAGCCTCTGCAGGAGCAAAAAACGCCAACCTGGACGGATACATCTCGGTACCGAGGAAGTGGTACATGTAGGGACCGATGTACCCTATATCCGACCGAGGGATACGTGTCGGTACGTAACGTACTAGGTGTCATTGATCCCTATGAACAGTACCTCGGGGGAAGAGTGACTTGTGAACCGACGAGTACGTGTCGTGATCACAGTAACAAGAATATACTGATGCCGATGACACGTGTCTTCATCTTGGAGTATTTGAAAATGTCCCATCAACTGTCCCCCAGCCTTCGATCTCCTGACACCGAGGACACGCATCGTAAGGAGATGAAAGGTTTTGCAACTACCCCAACTACTTTATCATTGCCTCTACCCGCTTTCCCCTGCTTAGGAGGTCGTGCGCATTAAATGCGCCTTTTCGTACTTCGTGCCCAAATGATGGGGATGGGTACTATATAAATAGGCTTCCTCTCTCCCTCTCTCATTTCGCCATTTCAAACTTCTTCAGAGAGCCCTTGCTTGAAACCTCGTCGGAGATCCCTTTCCTTTCGTTGTCTACTGCTCAATCTTTCACCGGAGTCTCAAGGCCAGCAGACCCATCCTTGCTTTTGAACATCCTAGGGGAAGGAATCATTTCAAGTTTTCAAGAAAAACTTCCGTTTACGTTCTGGTGAGTCCTTGTATCTTCCCTCTCTTCGCCCTTTTGTCTCTTCTTTTCTTCTTCTCGTTGTTTTTATTTTTTTTTGATTTTTCGATAACCGAAGGTGTTTCTGGTTGCCATTCTATGACCAACCCTCGGGAAGCCTCCTCGGGGATCTTCGTGGAAAAACCCCTCCCTTTTTCCTCAATATTTTTGGAGATGCCCCGATGTCGCCCTACCCCTGAGAATCCTCAGGCTAGTTCCTCGAGGCCAGGGAAGTACAAAATGAAGGGGGCGAGCAGATTAATAGGGTCCAGTATCGTATCCCCCCATATGTAGACATAGAGGATTATAACTCAGTTGTGCATTCTCGTACCCTCGGGGCCGAGGATGAGATGCCCTTTTATACCAAAGCCATCATAGAGGGCAGAATTAGATTCCCTCTGCCCCCTCTACTTCTCCAGTTCCTCTCTCATTTCCACCTCTTCCCTAGGCAGTGTTGCCTCAATGTCTTCAGAATAATAATAGGAGTCTTAAAGCTCAACAAGCGTCTCGGGGTAAATGTTGGGTTGAACGATATCCTCTTTTGCTACTCCCTCTTGAGGGTCATGCCTCAACAAAACTTCTACCTCAAACCTAGGGACCCATCCATGTACCTTGTAACTCACCTTCCTGACTCGGACAAGGGGTACAAGGATGACCTACTGATCTTCAAGGGGTCCTGGCAGAGGGGTGCCGATCCCGAATACGACGATCTGTTATGCCCTTTCGAATGGAGAACGACAAGTACGTCGGCTTCTTCGAGTCTATTATTTTGTTCTTGAGATTTTTTAGAAGTGTTCATAACTCCCTCTCCTCTCTCTTTTTTTTTTTTGTGTAGATGTCTCCGCTCGGGAAACAGCTCCTCCACTTTGGTCCTTGGTAAACTTTACCGACCTTGTCACTGTTTGGAGATTTGTTGGCGACGACGGATTCGGTAGGACTGCTCACATTCTTCTGAACTACACTCCCAGATATAAAAAGTTCTCACAGCTCCCCCAGCCTTTCGAGCCTTCGCGGTGGTCTGAACTCTTCGATCAGGATGCACAACAAGAGGTCGAGGAAATTTGGAGGAAGACCGCGATCGAGCTATAGAGGCCGAAGTAGAGGGTGTTGTTGAAGTTGAGGAGTTCGGGGCCAGGGAGACTTTTGTTCCTTCGCACGTCGAAGTGGGGACTTCGGGGAGAGATTCGTGGCCTGACTTCCAAATCCTGCAGTCACTAGACGAGAAGGACGCCCTCGAGGTAGCCATGTCGAACACGTCTCGCATAGATCTGGGATTCCTGAGGCAGAGGCAGGCCCTCACTGCCGGAAGGGGACGAGGATCAACCAGCGGGGCCCCATCTACAGGGACCAGCGCCACCCCACCTTCAAGAGTCGTTGGTCGGGGTCAAGTGCGTGACCGAGATCCTCAGGTAGAGGAGGAGAGAAGGGTCAAACAAAGGCACGACGGCCTTGGCAGGGGATCCAGGGCCCCCTCCGCTCAACAGCAAAGTGGGAGAGGCCGTGGGTTACCTCCTCCTCCCCAGCAGCAACAGTAACAACAGAGGCAACAACAACAACAACAGCAGCAAAGGTAGACTCCACCTCCCCCTCCACAGACGGTGGAAGCCGCAGAGTGGAACCCTCAGGCCACTGATCACATGAACCGAGTGATCAGGGTTGATGACTCTATTTTGCAGGACCCCCATGTTGCCAACGCAGTGAGTGAAACGCTGCACTTCGAGGCTGACATGTGGCTCACAGGGGTCAATCAACGAATGCATTGTTTCGTTCTATCATTTAGAATTCCCTGGTAGTAAGTTCATCTTCGCTTTAGTCTTTTCTAGTCGTGTTACTTTTTATTGACAAGCCTTTTCCTTTGCAGGCCACCTAACAGATTTTCATAATCACTGCGCGGTATCATGTAGCTAGGATAGACCTCCAGCGGGTTCAAGAGCAGAAGGAAGAGGCCGAGGGAGCCCTGGCCAGTGCCAAGGAGGACATAGTTGCCAAGGATTCCACTCTCGTGGGACAGGCTGCTCAGATTGAGCAAATCCTTAAGGACGGCGAATTGGCGAAGGTCGGCGCTGAAAAGCTAAGTGATGCCTTGGCCGACACTGAGAGGAGGATTACAGAGCAGACGCAGCGGCTCTCTACGGTAGAGGAGAGGGCTGTCGGTTTAGAGGAGAGCTGTTTGGCTCTGACCCAAGAGCTAGATAGGATCAGGGCTGAGGCAGAGAACAGGAAGTCCAAGGAACAACTCCGAGAGGAGTTTGTCGACGACATGCTACCTGCTCTTGAGTAAAATAGCAAGGAGTTTTTCAAGAAGGGGTGGGACGAGGCGCTCCGGTCTGCTGGGATCCCTCAGACTCCCCGCTCTTTCAGATGCACAAATACGTGCCATCGGCGGAGATGGAGCAAGCCGAGGCCGAGATTGCTGCCGAGGGTGCGACTCCAACGTCGATGCAAGTTTCGACAGATCCGCCCGGGGTGGTAATTTTGGATTTATCTGACGAGTTTTTCCGGACCAAGCCCCTGACCATAATATCCCTCAAATTCTCCTTGTTGCCTATTCACTCCCAACTCTGCCTGCTCCTGAAGCTGCTCAACCCTTTTGCTCTGATTCGCCCTGCAACGATGTGTTGGAGATACCTGGGGCCAGATAAAGATTTTTTTTTTGAACTGTACTCCTTTTCTTCTTTTTGTAGCTTTTGGGGACGCAAAACCCCTCTTTTGAAATGAAGCTTTTTTATTTGTTCTTGCATTTTCTTTCGTGCATCCTCTTCTCTTTTTTTCTTTTTAACGACCTTGATATCCCCGACACCTAGGGAGTTATTCTGTCGGTCCGCCCGATTGGTTTAGCTTCATCATTGCTAGAGACCGTACGTATCCGCGGGGGCTTGCCCATCGTGAAAGTTTATTCGTACTCTTTATTTCGAGGTATGAGTCTTTGAACTCTACATCCAGGGTCTTACCCTCCCAGAGGGCTTGCCCCAATTTTTCCTTCGGGGGCAAAAGTCCTTGAACTTTATCCCCAGGCCTTACCCTTCTACGAGGCTTGCTCCAGTTTTTCCTTCGGGGGCAGGAGTCCTTGAACTCTGTCCCCAGGGCCTTACCCTTCCAGGAGGCTTGCTCCATTTTTTCCTTTGGGGACAGAAGTCCTTGAACTCTGTCCCCAGGGCCTTACCCTTCTAGGAGGCTTGCTCCTGTTTTTCCT